AATATTTTGAACACAAATGGGGAAACAAAAAGTACTTAGTTTTCTAATTCATTTTTGGTGTTTCGATCCTCACTGCTGAATTCTTTTTTGTTCCATAATTTTTAGTTAGTAAGTTTAGTTTAGTTACACGCAACGGTCATGGAACTAGGATATGGTTGACAAATTCTGATACAAATCACGAATAAGATTCTATTTAAAAGCTATTCAATATAAAAATGTCCTTCTCATTATCGGCAAAGTCAGTTTTATCTTATTTTTAAAGCAGTCTCTTTTTCTTTTTTTTTTTTTTTAAATGACGTTTTCAATTCGTGATTTTATTTCCTTTTATTTTTCCTTCTTCTAATTTTGTGTATAAAAACAGGCTAGTAAATAAAATTCCTACACATGTCCTGATAAAGTTTCTCAAGGAATGAAACACGTTGGCATAAAAGGTTTCGTCTTGTCTTTTGTTTATTGTCTTTACAGATATATTTTATTCATATCTCGATTTTTACATATACTTACTTATGGATAACTGACGGCATATATATAATAATATTGCGTATTTTTTGGCAATACGGTTTATATAAAGAAAGAAAATAAGCTGAAACCCTTATTACGCTCTCTCGAGATCTCCCTTAGCCGACATTATTTATTCTCTTGAACGAAAATCATTCTTCTGCAACATATAACGTTTCGAAACAACATTTTGTCTATTTTTTTTTATAAAAGTTACAAGGAAGTAGCATTGGATTTGTTATGCAGATAACCCCTCCCCGTTTATTTGAACACAAGTAGAAGTTCAACCCATTGTTTTCTGTTTAGGATTGATTCCAAACTTCAAAAAAGACGTTTCTTTCTTTTTCATTTCCAGTAGCCCCCTTGCATCTAAGAGAAGTCATCTCCTTGCTTGGGGTGAAATAATTAACAACAACAAAAGAATAAAATAAAATAAAATAAAAGTATTATAAAATTAGCAATTATCTACGAAATTAAAATAACAAAGATTAACAAGTAGTAATGCTGGTGTAATGGTTCAGCATTCCCACTGATCGCTCACATATATTGGCCCTGGGACAATCTAGAATAATTTATTTAACTGTAGCAGGATAGTTGATAAGCAGGTTTGGTAGATTAATCCACCATATTCACGATGTGCTCAATTCACGTGGCCGTTCCCCAGACTAACTATGGAAATACTTTTAAGACATTTTTTTAAAAAAATATACATAGAAATATAGAAATTGTTACTGTACTTTTTCATGGAATCGAAATTCAACAAATCAGTTGTGTAGATACGTAATATATATATATATATATATATATATATATATATATATATTTTTCCTTTCATTTCAAATATTTATATTTCCATACAATTAATAAAAAATATTTATATATATATATATATATATATATATATATATATATATATATATATATAGATAGATACAGATATATGTAAATAATTATGAAACAGTGGTCAGAGTAGTTAAATTTGACCAGGAAACAGTTGTATGAAAAAGTGCTCAATACACGTATAAAGAAAATAAAATAAAATTTAAAGGGCAGGGATGTTAAATTTTAAAAATTAGAAGATTAGAATAAACACGCTACCTTGGTTTCAACCTTTACGACATAGGCCAACATACCTGAGGATAGTGAAAGTTTGAAATCAGGGTAGCGTGATATATATATATATATATATATATATATATACAATGTAATGGTTAGCAAGCTTAACTCAATAGAGTAGTAAGCTGGATCCTCACTGGGTGCCTCATACATACGGCCTTGTGCCATATTGTAGCTACGCTTAGAAAATCAGTTTGTATATATAAAAGCCTGACGATTGTGTTCAAGCATGAAGCAGAGCTTCGCGCCGGGATGTTGACTCCAATGTGTACTTTTATAATTACATACGCTCTATCCCTAATTATATGTATAAATTAAATTAAATATATATATATATATATATATATATATATATATATATATATATATATATATGTTGGTCCCAAATACTTAGCCTATACTACATATTACTATCTAATACGTATATATATATATATATATATATATATATATATATATATATATATATATATATATATATATATATATATAGTCAATCAGTCCATGTAAGGCGATAATGCAACTAAGGGGTTACTGTAAGGAAAGAGAATGAGAATATTTAACAGGATCCGGAAACCCAATTTTTAACCGGAAACCCAATTTTAACCCGGAAACTAGGGATAAACCTCTACATCTATTCAAAAGACCAGGGAAGTGGGTGATTAAAACCTATGAAGATTTCATTGAATAGTGTTTTATTTTTATTTTTGATCTTATATTATTTTTTTTTGCTCTCTTTTTTTTTTTCGTTTTTTTTTTTATGTTTTTTTTCCACTTCTTATGCAATCCTAAAACTGAATCCGAGGGGGGAGAGAACAAAACTCGTTCTCACATCACAGTTGTGATTGCTTGATTTTAATAAAAAGGATTTTAGACATGCGCAGTGAAGACTGTTTACCGTTAAATCTCATGGGTCTGGCTTTTTCTTCCATTAAGTTTATTTCCGCTGACCTCCGCTGACCTCTTTCAACAATGTTTAGACATTTTAATAATTGTACGTTGAGAAACAAAAAAGAAATTCATATTTAGTCTCTACCATTTTTATGTTTTTCAGCCAAATTTAATCTTTATAGGTAATTAAAAAATTAAAACAAGCAGAACTTTTCAAATTATGTTCAAAGAGATATTTTGAACAAAAATGTATTTTGGGATGTTGAAAGATTGAGGGAAAAGTTGTGATAAATAATAAAAAAAAACAGGGGGTCTGAAAATGTCCTCGGCCCGGCCAACTTTCCTAAATTAGTACCCTAATGTACGAATCCATTACATTCACTTACGTACTAATAGCCTTGGGAAAGGTATGAATCCGCTTCTTCTTCTCCCCCAAGCTATGGGTAAATAGCCGGACAGACCGGGTTCTATAGCCCTGGATGACAACTTTTTACCGCAGAAAGAAATGGCAACCTACTGCGGGAAAAAGTGATCAGTCATGTATCGAAAAATATATCATTGCCTCAGCGTGTAACACGCACGGTATATAAGTGACATGTTTACATATAAAAATATTTTGGGGGAATGTGGGTCGTTTTTAACACATATTTTCTAACTTCCATTCGTTATTTCAAAGGCTGAGATTGTTTTCTTAGAATTTCATATAACAGAAAAGAAAGACATATAGATAAAAGATTTATAAAAAACTGGTAATGATAATATTAGGCGTTTCCCTATAAGGCAATATTCTCTATTTATTAACTGAGCAAATAATACCAATTTCCGTAGTAATTTATCAAATATTCCTCTTAAAATAGACCTTCGAGGAAATAGATATATCAAGTCCATTGAATTTTGCTTAAAAAATTCACCCTAAGTAAGGCGATAATGCCACTAACAAGCACTGGGAGTGAAGGAGAATGAGAAGTCTTTAGAAGCAACACGAAACCCAGTCCTAAAAAGGAAACAAGAAATAAAACTGTATATATATATATATATATATATATATATATATATATATATATATATATATAAACATACACACACACATATATATATATATATATATATATATATATATATATATATATACTGATAGTAATATTCGCTTGGAAAAACCTCAGATAGCTCGACTTGTAGATATGTCAAAACAAATCGGTACCCGAGGAAAAAAATTGGAAATAACTAAAGAAAGAACTAAAAACATCCGAACAGGGCGAAATAAATCGTCCAGTGCCTTAAGCCTTTAGTCCAAAGAAGAAAAAACAAACGAGAAGTAAGACTAAAATGTAGAGTGCTCAATATGTTAAGTAGACCGGGAATAACTAAAATAAATCCTTAAGAGCCAGGAAAACCTAGCTAGGTTTCACATAAACGGAGCTTCAGGGTAAGCCGGCTTACCCTGAAGATCCATTTAGGTGAAACTTTAGGTATTTTTTGTTGTATATTTATATATATATATATATATATATATATATATATAGTTGTATACTTATATATACATACATATATATATATATATATACATATATATATATATATATATATATATAGATAGATAGATAGATAGGTAGAAACCAGGGTCACAATATCTCATCAATCCAACTAAGTATGTTAGTTCTATCACTGATATTGAGCGCTTAATAAGTATCGCATATATAATTTATAAATAATATATTTAGAAAGTACACACACACACACACACACACACACACACATATATATATATATATATACATACACATATATACATATATATATATATATATATATATATATACATATATATATATATATATATATATATATATATATATATATATATATATATATATATATATATATATATAATATATTATATGTATTCGATTTTTGAATCATATAAACTGGTCCCAGTAAATGATGTAATTAGATTTGCACATTGTTCACTATATATTCTTTGTAAGTGTTATTTCAGGACGTGGCATACATGACTCTTCACAACTTCCTGCCTTTTGTTGCTCTAAGCAATTTTTACCCTTTACCACACCTTTCTTTGCTGCCATTCACTCCAACAGACAAGTTTAGTACATTTTTCAGTTCATCATGATTTTCTTGCTTTCAGTTTGTCATGTGAGTGTCATATTCTCTATGCCTTCTTTCCTCATTCTGTCTCTTCATAATATGTGTATTAGTTTCTTCTTAATTCGTATTTTCTTTAAAACTTCCTAGTTGCTAACGTGTTCTGTCCATGGCATTCTTAGCATTCACCAATCGAGTCACTTCACACTCTTTTCCAGTCAATTCTTCATATGAAAAAAGATTGCCCAGCATTTATTGACATACAGGGGTTAGGTATTGCATAGTAATTTAGCTCTATTTAAAAAGATAAAAGCAAAAAACTCGAATTGTCTGTCTCGCCTAGAGACTCAGATAATTATCTCTTTACTGACAGGGGCAGAAATTAGTGTCCTTACCTAAATAAACTGATTTCAAACCCTCCTTTTTTACGGTCGACTTCTCGAAAAGCTGGCGCAACACGATCTTCCTCTTCAATAATCTATTGTCCTCAGCTAAACTTAACAAAGAGTGGTCTGCTTCGTGACTGAGCAAGATACCAACTTGGTCGATGTTCGACAAGCTAAAAAAAACAAAAAAAACTAGCATTTTAAATGGTGATTCTCAAGGGAAAGTTTTGTTTTTCATTCCGTAATATATATAAACTCCTTACTTTCTTTTCAACCTTCTGCCATACAAAATTAAGTTTTGTAGGTATTTTCAGGAATGGCATATTAATGATCTAGTTACTAATGTCGTAATACTAGTATTTACTTTTACTTGGATCGTAAATAAACGTCCCATTGTGTCGTTGATCAAGATTAAAACAAAATCGTGTTTCTATGCAAAGTTTTAATCTTGACAAAAAAATTAGGACTTTTAAAAACAACATCTAATCAACTAAAAGATTATTTGTTCCTCAAAGTACCCCTTATAAATGTTCTTTATATCGTTGAAGCCGAACAGTTACTACACATTGATCGTTGCCGAATAAGCAACGGAAAGGAAACATTGCTTCTCTGTATTTTTAACATGTCTAAGGGTACAATTAAAAAATGGGATCAAAATGAAAAGGCAATTGATCAAAGATAAACAATAACCAAACAAACAAGAGATAGATAGATAGATAGATAGATAGATAGATAGATAGATAGATAGATAGATAGATAGATAGATAAACTGGGATAGATAGATTAGACTATATAAATATATATTTCGAAATAGAATACATGTATGTATGTTTGTAAATATGTATAGAGAGATAAAGAGAGAGGAGAAGTTATGCCATTGAGAGAGAAGGCATGAGAAATATTAGAATATATAGATGAATAAAATTATATATATATATATATATATATATATATATATATATATATATATATATATATATATATATATATATATATATATATATATATGTATGTATGTCCGCGCGTGTGTGTGTGTGTGTGTGAAAATTGATCAATAAGTCTGTAGCCTGACACGTAGTTCTTTTTATTTTTACTATATAACTTCCTATTTATGGGAATATAATTCTCCACTGAATTAAGTGCATTGACAAAGAAGTTGAAATAAATATTTATTTTTCATGATAAAAGCTTTTTATTTTTATCATTGCTCTTCGGATAGATAGATAGATAGATAGATAGATAGATAGATAGATAGTGCTTATCTGTGAACCAACGGTTTTAAAGCTAACTTCTCAGAAGCTTCGTAGTGTAACACTTCACATTGCCTTGTGTCAGACTAATACTGAATTACTATATACTTTTAACTAGATACGACCATCTAGGAGTACAGAATTGGTAGATGGCTACACAGATGAACAGAGTATTTTGAAATTATATACCCACCCTCCTCGTCATAAACGTTATTCTTGGAAGTCGAGAATTTTTTGGCAAATGGATTCTTCTTCTTCTTCTTCTTCTTCTTCTTCTTCTTCTTCTTCTTTTTGCTCTTCCTCTTCTTCTTCTTCTTGCTCTTCCTCTTCTTCTTCTTCTTCTTGTTCTTGCTCTTCTTCTTCCTATTTACTTCTTCTTCTTCTTCTTCTTCTTTTTATTCGTCTTCTTCCTCCTCTCCCTCTTCTTCCTCTTCTTCTTTTTATTCGTCTTCTTCCTCCTCTTCCTCTTCTTCTTCTTCTTGCTCTTCCTCTTCTTCTTGCTCTTCTTCTTCCTCTTTACTTCTTCTTCTTCTTTTTATTCGTCTTCTTCCTCCAGTTCCTCTTCTTCTTCTTCTTGCTCTTCTTCTTCTTCTTCTTCTTCTTGCTCTTCCTCTTCTTCTTCTTCTTCTTGCTCTTGCTCTTCTTCTTCCTCTTTACTTCTTCTTCTTTTTATTCGTCTTCTTCCTCCTCTTCCTCTTCTACCTCTTCTTTTTATTCGTCTTCTTCCTCCTCTTCCTCTTCTTCCTCTTCTTCTTCTTCTTCTTCTTCTTCTTCTTGCTCTTCTTCTTCTTCTTCCTCTTTACTTCTTCTTCTTTTTATTCGTCTTCTTCCTCTTCTTCCTCTTCTTCTTCTTTTTCTTCTTCTTCTTCTTCTTCTTGCTCTTGCTCTTCTTCTTCCTCTTTACTTCTTCTTCTTTTTATTCGTCTTCTTCCTCCTCTTCCTCTTCTACCTCTTCTTTTATTCGTCTTCTTCCTCCTCTTCCTCTTCTTCCTCTTCTTCTTCTTCTTCTTCTTCTTGCTCTTGCTCTTCTTCTTCTTCTTGCTCTTGCTCTTCTTCTTCTTCTTGCTCTTCTTCTTCTTCTTCTTTTTATTCGTCTTCTTCCTCCTCTTCTTCTTCTTCTTCTTGCTTTTTTTGCTCTTCTTCTTCTTCTTCTTCTTCTTCTTGTCCCGTAACCCTTCAGGATATAAGCGATCATGGTTCTCCACAATTTCCTGGAAAATCATGTAGTGCCAATTTATTGGGAGGGGGGGGTCGAGCAATACAAAGTACATACAGGCTACATCCTTTGTCTGGAAACTATAAAAGTTGATCTATTTTTTTTTATTGTGTCAAAAACAAATTCATTTTTTTTTTTTTTCACTATTTCTACCTTAATAAAGATTGTTTTTTTTAAAAAAAGCTACAAAAAAAGTTTTGATTTTGACTTTTAAAACCAGTGTAATTTCAAGCCCTCCCCTTCTGTCTATTTTAACTCACACAGTCACAGACATTGGTTCTGATTCGTTAATTCGTTCTTACAGCTCCCGCCCCGACCAAAACCTGCTCTCGGAACAGTTCTTTCTTTCTGGTTCAGTAAAGCACGCACTCTCGAACACAGTGTCTCTGGCACAGACTGAGACATTCACTAGCGAACGTTGTTTTACCGCCTATTTTTCTACGCCGTTCGTGCACACCTGACTTCATAATGACGGCACTACAGTTAGTGGATAACGAAGCCTACTAATACAACTATCGCATCTCGTCAGCGTTGCATGCCGCCTCAACTCCTTCGATACTATCATCGACGAACCATTTCACAGTTTGTTCCTCCACCGCCACTGAGCTGTTCTTTGCCGCCGCCGCCGCCGCCAGCCAGTTCTTTTACGATAGCAGTTGTAGCCTCTAATACAAACGGTTACTGCTATGCTGAATACAACAGAGACTCAAGTGAATAGTGTTTAGTTTGACCAAAAAAATGTAAGAAATGGAACTTTTTTCGTCAGTCTGAAGGATTGAAAAGAAGAATTAGAAAAAGAAACGACGTCACGGCGAAGAATAACGTACGAAAAAAGGAAAAATATGAATAAGAAATTATTATTAATGAAAGAGAAGCATGAAGGATAAAATATTGAAAAGAGAAGGAAATAAGACGGAAAGAGTACGAAGAAGAAGAAGAAGAAGAAGAAGAAAGTGACGCAGGCAAAAATGAAGGGTGAAGGAGGAGATAAAAAATGAGGAAGAAAGAAAAATGGAAAAGGAGGACAAAAAGAAAAAAATAGAAAGATGGACGAAAGGAAAAGAATTTAGTGAACGAGAAAAAAGTGAAAAAGAAAAGGGTAATAACGAGGAGAACTGAAAATAAGACGGAGGAGAAGGAGGAGGAGGGTAAAAAGAAGTAGAAAAGAAGAAAATGGATGAAGACGAAGTAAGATTTTTTTAAAAAAAATGGGACAGCGTATAGAAGGAGGAGGAGGAGGAGGAGGAGGAGGAGGAGGAGTTGAAAAAGTAGATGAGAAGGAGGAAAAAATAAAAAGACCGATAAATAGGTGAAAGTGAAGAAGAAGAAGAAGAAGAAGAAGAAGAAAAGAAGAAGAAGAAGAAGAAAAAAAAGGGTAAGATGCACAAAACGAGGAGAAGGAAGAGGGAAAGAAGCGAAAAGGTTTTAAGAATTTTATTTCTTGTCAATTTTACACCAGTTTTTGCTTCTATCATCAATCTCATCCCGAACATAATCTATCTCCATTTTCATCATCATTATTGTCGACGTTATCTAATCGATATCATCATTATTATCATCATAATCACCAACAGAATCAGAATCATCTCGATCACATTGCAATCACTAGTATAATCAATCAATCGATCTCTAAAAAAATGTGACCATTGATATAAATGTAATTATCTTTGCCGCCATCATCGTAGTTAAAATCGAATCTATATCATCAAAATTAATTTAAGTATTTTATTTTTATCAGCACATAGTTTTTGTACCATATTATTATTAGTAATAATGTATTATCATCGTATTATCGAGGTAATATAATTTTTAGCATATTAACCACTTATTTTAACAACTGTTACATAACTTTAACAATAATAAGTCATTATTATTACTGTTGATAAAAAGATTTTATCGCTACCAACTTTTAATAACAAATATTGCTAACAGATTTTTCATAATAGTCTATTCACTATTCGTTATTTTTAATACTAACTTCATAATAAACTACTATTATTGTTAACATATTTATATTATTAATAAGTTAATATTTTATTAAAACCTTTGTTTTTATTAACGCATTATTGACTTGGTAAATTATTTTGGACGATTTTTTTCATTCTTTAAAAAAACCTCTACTTCAAAAGAGCCATGAAAATTCAGTTGTTTATGAGCAGAATACAAAGTATAGTTGTGCAAAAGTTTACAGCGTTTTAAACTAAAATAAAAACAGCATTTTTATTGCGTCCAGCTTCTGGGTTTTGAAACGGGCTAAAAACTTTTTCATATTTAGGTAATAATATTTTTAGACATATGACGATAGCAAAAATAGAATTTCAATGATTTTCTCTATTTTCAAAAATATTTTTCCATTTAAAAATTCATAATAAATATATAAAAATACGATCTTACGTTTTCAACAATTTGAAAAAAAATTTGATATTTTCTTTATGTAATTAGGAAATGACAGATGTCGCTTATTACAATCACGAATTAGCCGGTTATTGTTATTAAAATCACTCGTAAGCTGTTTAAAAAATTAATTTAGAATTAGTAATTCCAAGGAATAAGTTCTGTATTAATTTTGTTATGGTTTAAAACAGTTTATAACATTGTATCTCTCTCTCTCTCTCTCTATATATATATATATATATATATATATATATATATATATATATATATTGTTTTTTGTTTTTTTTACTTTATCAGCCTTATTGTCATTTGAATGAGCCTGTCCGAAAAGTGATCACTTTCTGAAGATTCCTCTTTCAATAAGGCCGCACCACCGCTATCATCACCCTCACTGCTTCAGAAATATTTCCACCGCGTAATTTCCTCCTTGATTTAGTTAATATTTATTTCTCAATTGTTCTTGGAGTTTCAATCAATAGCGTTGAGGTTAGTGGTGATCATAAGATCAAAATTATTATTATTATTATTATTCTTATTGTTGTTGTTGTTGTATCTTTCCCGAGGTGTTTACAGTGGTCATTGTCGGATAAGAAGTGAGAGAGATTCTTTCCAAATCTCACACATTTTTCATTTCTTCACCACTGCTGTGATTGGATTCGTTTACGTACGTTTTCTGGTTTCCATTCTTTACAATCACTATACAAGCATAGGTAGAACTGTGCCCAGTGCTCCGATGATTAATGGCATGGGCTTATTATTAGTTGTACACATTCGGTTTTCACAACAGAGATATCTGGTGGTATTCGCTAGAGATCAAGTGACCAAGAAAGTCTCGGCAACACACCAGCTCTTTCCCATTATTATTATTATTATTATTATTATTATTATTGCTGTTGTTGTTGTTGTTGTTTTTCTTGTTGCTATTGTCTTTTGTCTTTGCTTTATGAAGTCCAAGATTACCCCCAAGTTTCAACCAGAAACTTTAAGAGATAGTCTTTTTGTATCAGATGACAGATGAGACCCCATGCAATCAAGTTGAAAAATATAAGGTAATTTTGGTCACTGTATGGAAAGACATTTTGGCAAGATTGGAGAAGTACGACATTTTGCAATTTGTATATTTTAGGGTTTCCAGGAAATTGTTCTACATATTTTGTCGTTCCTTTTGATACTATTCCCATGAATAATAATAATAATAATAATAATAATAATAATAATAATAATTATTATTATTATTATTATTATTATTATCATTATTATTATTATTATTATTTTTATTTCCTTTGATTTCTGGCGTGTACACATTTCTTTTCCGGGTCCCGCCCAGAGACCTAAGGTTAGAAATGGCATTATGACACTTTCTACTAACAAAAAACAAAAAAAAAACAAGCATATTCTACATAGATAAAGCCCTTCGTAAAGTGTGGGCTGTACTTGTGAGAACAATTTTTTGTATTTCTTTTAATCTACTGGAATCTTTTCCAACCAATCCTACAAAAAAGAGATTGTTGATGTTCCCATGTGCCACATTTCTGATATTTCGATTTCAAAGTCCTTGTATTTTGTCAGCTTTTTGAATATCTTCAAAGATACACTACAGTCAGCAGGGACTGCCATATCAATAAGGAGGTACTTTTTTGTTTGTGGTCTTTAATAACAATGTCTGGGCGGTTAGCTTTGGTTGTTCTCTCAGTGTGTATTGTGTAGTCCCATAGAATTGTTACAGGTCCTATTTCCGTAACCGGGTCTGGGTGGTGTTCATACTATTATTATTATTATAATTATTTCCTTGGATTTCTGTTGTATACACATTTCCTTCCGGGTCCTAACCAGAGACCTAAGGTCAGACATGGTTTCATAACATTTTCCACTGATCATTCTTGTCAATAAAAAAAAACATCGCACACATTTTACATAGATAAAGTTCTACGTAATGTGAGAGCAATACAATCAATATTATTATTATTATTATTATTATTATTATTATCATTATTATTATTATTACATTTTCAGCGTAAAGGAGGAATTTGTATTTTTGCAGCATGGGTTGACTTAACGTTATTTCTATGCGTTTAAATCTGTTAACCGAAGCAATTACAACAATAAAAATACTAATAGTAACAAAAATAACAGTAAAAACAACAACAAAAATAATGTCGCTCGTCAAAGCCTTCTAATCGACGCACTTAACATCATTATCATTATTAATAATATCTCTAATCATTAACTTTATCATCGTTATTGTCATCAATGCCCAATCATCATCATTTTCATGACCACGTCTGTAATTAGCATCGCCATTACTGCAGCGGTTTTCATAATTGTTGATGGCATCATGGTTCCTTGCCTTATCATAGTCACGGGGTCCCACGTCTCTTTCGCCGTTATTGCCATTCCATAAGCGTCTATCAATCACCGTCATCAATATTAGTACCGCTGTTTACGTAATTTCTTCTTCTTCTTCTTCTTCTTCTTCTTCTTCTTCTTCTTCTTCTTCTTCTTCGTTGTCATTCTTTTCCTCTTTTCACGCTAAAACCCTGTCTTAAACATCTTCATTTCCAGTTTCTCGCATTCTCATTCTTCTCTTGTTCTTCCTTCTCTACCTCCAAGCTATTCATCTTTGCTTTCTTTATCGTTTTCCTGTTTTTATTTTTCTTCTTCTTCTTCTTCTTCTTCTTCTTCTTCTTCTTCTTCTTCTTCTTCTTCTTTATATCCATTTTTGACTCGTATTTTTCAATTGCATTTTATATTATTATTCGTCTTCTTCTCTACGCCATTCTAAGTAAACATCATCATTATTATTGTCATTATTATTGTTGTTATCATTATTGCCGTTTCAATTCTCTTAACACCTATTTTGTTATTGTTTTATTATTGTCGTCATTGTTCATTTTTAAATTACTCCCTCTTATTTCGTTGTCTACAAATTAATCGTATTTTATGAAGTCGTCAAAATCCAGGTGAAGCGGTAGGTTACCTACCGTTCTACATTATTATTTTAACTATTATGCATATATATATATATATATATATATATATATATATATATATATATATATATATATATATATATGTGTGTGTGTGTTTGGGGGTGGTCTGTGAGTGTGTGGGTCTCTCTGTGTGTGTGTGGGGGGGTCTCTGTGTGTGTCCGTGTGTGAATGTATGTGTGTGTTTTTGAGACTATCTACTATAAGTATCAGAAACTTTTAATGTTTTGTATACAGTAATATATTTCCTATTTTAAATATATATATATATATATATATATATATATATATATATATATATCAATGGATTATTTATCAACATTATTTCTTATTATAAATATTATTTTAGCAACAAATATATGCGTACATAAAAAAAAGCGTTTATAGTAATAAGAAATGTATATATATATATATATATATATATATATATATATAAAAATATATAAGAAATGTATATTTGTAAATATATATATATTATCAAATATATATATATATATATATATATATATATATATATATATATCTTTCTATCTACCTAATTACCTACTTATATATATATATATTATTATTGTATATGTATATATCTTTGCTTTATATATATATTTTTACGTATATATATATATATATATAATTATATATACGTAAATATATATATATAACAGTAACGATATATATATATATATATATATATATATATATATATATATATATATATATATATATTTATCTATGTCTCTTTTATATAATATTATATATACATATTTTTTGTCTAAAATATACATTTATATATTTACTATATACGTATATACATATATAATTATATATAATATATATATATATATATATACACATACATGTGTGTATGCCTACTTGCATGTCATTAATGAAAAACATTTCCTGATGTATTTATTTCGCTTTTTTCTTGTATTTTTTTTAGCAAAAGTTTTTTTTTGTTTCTTTTTCCGTATTAATTTGCGTGACCCAAACTTTATTACTTATTGTCTTCTTGATAGTGAGAATATTTGTCGAAATCCTTGAAAGAAAGGCTTCGGTTGATGCCAAATTAACTCTCCGACTAATGGAAAAAAATAGTTTTTAATAGTTTATAATAGTTAATAATAGTTACGCTATTTTGCAGCAGATGACACAACACGTGTTAATTCTGAAAATGAATATCCAATAACGAATTAAAGCCCGCGCTTATAATGAGTGATAGATCGCGTCTAGTTTATTTTTATTAGACTATGATAGGTATTCGATAACATCGTAAAAGTCGGTAAATATCTACGAGAAAAGAAATAGGACGGACTAGTCAATATCTGCTTAGAGCGACATCGGACATAATCTAATTTCCCTGGTATATCTCTTTAGAAGGGGTATATATCTGTGACTAGTGAAATGATAATTATTCCTACGGCCCTATGAAAATGCTAAGTGTAGTAAAATATTGGCTTACAAGAACCTCAAAACTTTCATGATTCACACTTCGTTCAATCATTTGTAAGTGGGGAGTAACTGTAGCCAGTAAAAGTCTTCTAAGAATGATAGTATATTTTTTGCTACACGAGCCTTGGTGAATATGGGCTCATAAGTGCATTTGATTTACAGCAAACAAGGCTTAGCAAATCTCTGTTCAGAAGGGAACGACGTACAACAAACTTTATTAAATATCTGTTCAGTAGAATATTTGAATTTATTCAAAGAAATCTTTTCTCAGAATAATATAGTTTCGTAACACAAACCTTGCTAAATTCAGAAGTTCAGAATATATATTAGAAAAAAATCTTACCAAATGCGTACTCAGAATAATATATTTTTTCTTTGCCAGCCTTGCTAAATATCTGTTCACAAATGGCATGATTTACTAGAGAAAACTTTCGTAAATATCTACTCAGAAGGATATTTGAATTTAATGAAACAAATCTTTTCTCAAAATAATATTCTTTCGCGATACGAACTTCGGTAAATGTCAGTTCAGAAAGACATGATATACTAGAGAAAAAAACCTTAGCAAATACCTTCTCGGTAGGATATTTGAATTTAGTTAAACAAATCATTACTCAAAATAATATAGATTTGCGAGACGAACCTTGCTAAATATCTGTTCAGAAGAGTATCTTGTACTAGAAAAAAAATCCTTAGGAAATATCTGCTCAGAAGAATATATCAATTTATTCTTTATTTTTATTTTTTATTTTTGAATCTATTCTTTATTCAGAATATAGATTCGCGACACGATCCTTGGTAAATATCAGTTCAGAAGGGCAGATCATTTTTAACTGAAAGTGTCTTTGCATGTCCAAGAAAATCACCGTTAATGGTAAGACTTCTGGAACCAATCTGATCAATGCAGGAATTCTGAAGGCTCTCCGAACCGTCTTCTACCCTCTTTTTCCTTTTATTAACGATCTGTCCAGGAATATTATCGAATCATCTATAAATATCTATGCAGATAATACCACAGTTTATGAGTGCATCTCTAAAAGTTAGATATTTAGAGCTTGTCAGCTTTCAGAGTTCAATGGGGAAAAAAAACTGGTTTGTAACATACATTGCATTAAAACCAACCTAATAACGATCCGTTATCACCGGGTTGATCCTGAATTTTACTCTTAATGAAGCTCCTTGTCATGGCTGTATATTGGTACTCATGTTCACACCAGACCTCAAGTAGAACTCCTATATACGATCGATCGC